TGTTGCCTCCTCCCTACCTCCATTCACCCTTCATTTTGGCTCACTGAAATCAGAGTGCCACTTTTCTGGGAAAGCCTGATATTCTGACTTCAGTTTTGTAATTTAATGATGGAGAGTTTCCTTAGTAAACCAAATTTAGAGTCCTAGAATGCTTATCTTATATCCAGACCTTGAACATAAAAGGCATTTTATACTCACAATTGTTCATTTAATGAGCAATTGCAGAGTGCAGGCCGGTTAAGGGATTGAGCTATATGCACTATTATTGCAAGAAGTATTCCGAAATACCAGAAATAGGACGTAAGCTCTGATCAGGGAGACTGTGAGCACAATTACCTTCTTTTCAAATCCTTCTGTGACACTGCGGGAGGAAAAAGGACTTTGAAACTTGAAAGGAAAAAGCTTGCTTTCAACCTCAAAAGCTAGGAGGAAAGGGCTCTGAAATTTGCTCAGAATTCCCAATTCACCATTAGCCTGTTTCTTCCTTTAGCCTCAAGGCATTCTCCGCTTTTTGAAAAGATGTTAAGAAATTCAGTCACAATAGAGAGCCTAGTTTTGAACATGTTTCCCTCGGTCCATTGAGGTCTGGGCTACAGCCTTTGTGTGGGGTGAATTGAGCTGAGCGGCTAGCTGGTTGGAGAGAGGTGAATGAGGAGTCTGCTGTGCAGTCGCAAATTCTGGCAAAGAAAGACGCTCCCCCTTTATTTCACAATATGCATTCCTGTACAACCCTGGTAGTGGCAATATGTGGAGTTGAGCCTGTTCTTAAGTCAATACAGAGTACTTGGTTTATAGCAACTCTTGTTAAGTTTGTCTTGTAATTGAAGCTGCTGTTGACCTTGCTTGGGGACCATTTGTAAAACCGTTTATTTAGCATAAACTGAAATAATAAACCCTCCTTCTCTTGGGCTGATTGTGATACGGTGACATTAGTTTGATTTAATGATTAGCCACCTGACCCTTCTCCTGGAGAGAGCTGCTTGAATGGAGAGAGTTCACTCGGAAGCACTCAGAAAGAATACTAATGAGCTTGTTAAATTTAGCATGGCTCCAACCACTTTTAATTTCTCTAATGGGAGAAGCACTGCCTGGGAGAGGGAGAGGGAGAGGGAGGCAGGGAGACACCGAGAATGTTCCTAGAGTGTCTGCACAGCTAGAGAAAGCCCACCAAGAGAAGTTTGCAGAAAGTAGCTAGCCAGAGGCTGGGGACTGAGTTGTGAGTATTGTCTGTTCTCTTACACTCTGTCTTCTGTGACGAGGGGGAAGAGAGGTGTGATGGCGATAAAACGGGATTGAAGGGAGCAACTTAAAATCGATGCTAATTTTAAAAAAGGTTGACACTTGTACTGTGAGCTCTTAATCAGCTAATTTTGTTAGGGTGACAGGAGGTGTTCCTAGTTAGTGATGCGGTGCAGGGTTTTATTTTTATATTGGAAGGGCTGCCTGAAACTTTTATCTCAAGACTTAGGTGAAAAAGCACTTGTTTCCTGGGTTGCAGCGAGACATTTTGGGGAGTTTGTGAGCACTGCACAGGAGTGTGCGTTCCAGTCCTGCTTCACACAGCAGGGTTACTTTCTTTCAACCTTTGTTGTAAACGGTCTAGGCAGTGTTTGCAATGAAGCAGCTTTTGAGTTCTCAGAGTTTATGGCGCTAAGAGTGTCTGGCCCGGTGCAGGTTGCCTTTGGATGAGTTTGGAAGATCGGGGACAGTTTCTTAAAGTGATGCTTGGGCAGCTCTCCATTTGGGGGCTTGAATTTCTTAACTTCCACTCGAGCATGCATTTCCAGGGGAGGGAGGTATAAAGTTGGGATGATGATGACAGTGTTTGAAATGATTTTTTTTCCTAAAACTTTTTAGTGAACTGCATGTTTCAGTGTAACCCCCAAGTTTGCAGCTGTGTAACTTAGAGAAGCACGAGAAGCATGAACAGCCGCCTTGTGTTTGGCTGTTCAAGTCAATTGGCAGATGCTCCTGGAGCAGTGGGCCGTTTGCTTACATTTTTGCAGCCGACTTCTGTTGTTGCCCTGGTGGACAGTGTGTTTTTGTCAATTTGGCCTGGCGTAGCCTGTCTGCACTGACAAACTTTATTGTACAACTCGGCTCAACTGAACAAGATTAGACAGCTTTCGTCTTTTGGCTTGCTGAAGTGGTTGCTAAATTAATAAGAGCAGGCAGGAATATTGCTTGGAAGGTTTCCCTTCCACTGTGGAGAGCATGCTTTCAAGCCCCGTGGTTGTTTGTATTCTGGAGCGTGTGTACTGTCAAGTTTTCATCTGAATGCCCATCAGAAGCAACCAGTGCGAGAGGTAAACTTCATGAAATGTTTGCTGGAATGGTTTGCAGAGGGAGGGTAGGTAAAAAGGTGGTAGCCTCGACTATTGTAAAAGTCAGTCTGGTGAAAGTTTCCACATTAAAAAAATTCTTGGCTGCCTTTTACTTTTAGTAAGGGAACTAGTTAACTTTTTTATGTAATAAATATTTGAACTTTGCGTATTTCTTTTTATAACTTTAATATTCACACATGTTGGGTTAACTCTCATTAAGAAAATAATTTAATTAAAAAAAATTCAGTACTTGTGGAAAGAAATCATTTAGCTAAAAACACCCCTATTTCTACCTCTCTCCCTCACTGCTGGGTGGGGGCGGCAGGACTCTGGTCAGACCATGCCAATTAATCCGTTATTCCTGAGGTTGGAATCAAATACTTGTCATAAAGGCACGACTTCTGAAAGAAACTCACACGGTTTAGCTATGTGGCTTTAAGAGAAGAAAACTTAATTTCTTCTAGGAAGATTAAGTCAAGGGAATCCTGTTTTAAACCTGGAAGAGATTAGTAGCGTTTGGTTATTAATCTTTCCCATGGAATGCTAATTATAAGTCACAGCCCCTCTCACTAAGGGCTACTTAGCTTTCCAAATGAAGGTCCATTCTACAGAATCTGCACTTCAGTGCTACAAGTTCAGGTTGAAATTTGAAATAAAGGTGTTTATACAGGTGTAATTTAGTGGAAAATATGACTTTGGCCATTTGTAGGTTATAGGGATTTTTATAACATTAAGAGTTTTCGTGTTTTTGACACCCTTTTGCGTTAACATAACTGTAAACCCTTATTCTATAGCCTGCAACTTCACTGCTAATGAAGGATAAGGGTGGACTAGTGCCTGAAAGGACTAGTCAGAAGGGAAAAGAAAAACGTAGGATTTGTTTTTGTAGTTTATTTTCAAATTAGCAAAAGCAAGGCTTGATTGCTTTTGTAAAATCAATGTGTGAAAAATGTGGGATTGCACCAGGTTTTTTTTGTTTTTTGGTTTTTTTTAGTAGTTACTTATAGATTAAATTCATAATTTATTCCATATGAATCCCATGTGTACAAGGTTCGGGGTGAGGGTCTGCACAAAACAATGCTAAAGGAATGTTTCCCAGTAACCCTGTAGTGGCAATTCATGGTGAAGACCAACATATATATCGTGGTTTATACTGCTTTGCAAGTCATTTGCTAGGCTGAGAAAAAATGCATTGCTTATTTCTTCAAGTCCCAGACAAAGGCAGAAAGACTACTGCTCTAGGTAGCAAGGTCATTAGTCAACACAAAACAGTAGTCATTAGTTTGTATTTTCAGGCTTGTCTGTGTTTAGAGCTATACTTCCTTCTTCCTTCTGAATTGGTACAAACAACTATGAAACTGCTAAAGTATACTTTTTCTGTTTTTTAGGGGCTCTCACCCAGACATACCTGTTTTATAGAATACTTTGAAGTTTGTATATTGAGATGTGTTCAAAATCTGTCCACCTAAAATGTACAATATTATTACTTATACCCAAATATAGTTGTTGCGCCCCGCCCCCCCACCCCCCCATCAGGAGTGGGAAACAGTTTTCCAAATTAGGTGTCTGAGCAGTGCCGGAACAATTTTGTTTTCATCAGCACTTATCTGCCAGAGGATGACAGTCTGTTGCTTAAATGCAGAGCTTGTTTGGTGTATGTGTATGATTCTAACAGATGAATTGGTTCACTTGTGTGGGTTCAGATAGCCAGTCTGGTTTAATTTTATGCATTGTTTCTTTGATCTACTGTTATAGAAAGGTCATCCAATCACATTTGCAGAGAACCATAGTGGATGGATGGGAAGTTCCTACAGATTAAAGGGAAAAGAAGTATTAGGGACCTAGAATATCAAATGTATGTAGAATTTCATCAGGCTGTTTCTTACATGTTTGAAGCAATGCCTAGATCCCACCAGAGTATGTGCATATCCCCGCATGGCTGACACCTGCCTCACCCCAGAGCCAGCTTACACTTGAATTTTCAGCCTCATTCTTCTTTCCTCCTAACTCTCTGCTGTGTTCTGTGGGCTGAAGCAGGAAGTGTCTTGTAAGGGGTCCTGGAGGTTTTCATGATTGGCAACTTTGTAACCATTGGGTTTTCTGTCCCATCTCTGACTTTGTTAAATCTCTCAGTGAGCTACAAATCTGACTTAAAAAAACTAAAGCACCAAAACTTCTGCGTCACTTTCTAACAGGTCATCCTCTGAGGGACAGAGGTCCTTTGACCCCAGGATCACCCAGAACCTCTGTGGATATTCAAGCTCCGGTTACCCGAGAGGCCTGGCGTCCTCAGACAGACGAGGGGAAGCTGTGGACACCACAGCCCTAGGCTGGCAAAACGTCCAGCTTTAGTGGGACCTGCGGGGACACTGACATGTCCCTGAGGAAGAGCCTCACTGGCAGATTCAGTCGTAAGCTGGTGATAGCAATTTGCTGACCCCCTCCCTCTCAGTTTAACAGACTCATTTCTGCCTCCCCTTCATCCTTCCATTTGTATTTTGGCCCCTCATTCATAAGCAGTTTTGTCTGAAGGACATCCCATCAAGGTGCATGCGGCTTTCAAAGTTGCCAAGAATGAGAAAACGGCTTATTTTAGGGAGGGAGACTTAAGTGATGACTGTTTTTGAATTGCTCCTTAAAGTTGTCACAGAGCTTTTATGTTTCTTCTGTTTTCAGAGGATGAAAGTCCTGGACAGACCTATCACCGAGAGAGAAGAAACGCAGTCGCCATGCAGCCGCAGAGTGCTCAGGGGCTTGGCAAGATCAGCGAGGAGCCTTCCACATCTAGTGACGAGAGGGCCTCATTGATCAAAAAGGAGATCCATGGGTCCCTACCGCACCTGGCCGAGCCCTCCGTGCCGTACCGCGGGGCCGTGTTCGCCATGGACCCCAGGAATGGCTACATGGAACCTCACTACCGTAAGTGGTCCTGTCCTGTGGTGCGCGGCACGTGCTTCCGAGCCCTGGGAGGCTGTGAGCGCACTTTATGAAATATTTTGCTTGCACTGATTTACACAAATGTTTAACTTAGCGTCCACTTTTCTTGTTACTTCTCCCATGTCTTGTCCCTTCTTCTTTTTAGGGAGAGCAGTTTCTTTAACCTCCCTAAATAACTTCAGGCCTCAGTGGGGCGATGCCCATCTGTGGCGCCCATCTGTGGCTCATCTGCTTGGACCTTTCCTGGGGACAGGAACCAGATACTCTTCACCCAGCTGGACGCTGCAGTGGGAAAATTGGTTGATGGGGGTTGCTGCAGTGGGCTGCTCTAGCTGAAGTCTTTAACAGAAGCAACCCTCATTTTAATGATGTTTTGCTGAATTGTTGAGGAGGAACAAACTTCTTTGAACGAATCAGTGCTAAATTCCCTCCCAGGGAAGATTTCCTACATGCGCTTTCTTCTCTCACTAGCGTGCCAGCAATACTGGGAGCTCCTTTTTGAGCACTGATCAAGTTTAAGAAATCAACTAGGACTCTGAACACAGACATACGATGGTTTTCTCCAAAGGCAGACTATACAGAAAAATACATGTGTTGAGTTTATTTCTGGCCTGTTTCTAGTTAAAAAACATAACTCGATGGTGGACTAATGAAGTTCGTATTGAGGTGCCAAAGCTTGCGGCTCTTGATTACAGATTTATCCCCTTGCCAGGATGCGGACTTGCCATTTAACCTTCCTGGCTCCAATTCCACATGATCCATTGAGCTCCAGAGCGGGGGTTGGCTCTTGTTTCCCTTTTTCCACATCATTCAGAACTTTTAGTGTGTTAAGGCAAAAGGTCATTAGCCAGATGACTGATTAGTGAAGACAGCTGATTAGTGCATATTTTCTTGCTCCAGAAAGTGCCCAGGATAAAAGCTAATTCCACCCCTTCATTAGTTGGCTTGCAGCAGAGGGGGATGGTCCCTCAACAGGGTGCAGATCAAAGAGCCTCGCACAGCCCCAAATCTCGGCAACCCTCCCCTNCCCCACCCCCCACAAGATTATATTGTTGGTAAAGATGGAAGATCCATTATTTTCTTAAGTGGAGAGAGACTTTTTTTTTAAGTGGTCAGAAGCGTGGAGGAAAAGGTTTTATGGATCCTTTAAGTCTTCTCTGTTTTTAAACTTCTCTGTTTGGAAAAGTGCCTTTCAGTCCTATTGCTGCAGTTGTAATTTTTACAGGCACAGAAATGAGGAGGTGTAGTTGTCTGTTCCTTTCCTTCCCTCATTAAAGGTTTATTTTATTTTTCTTTTATTTTAGGAACGAGAGTTTAAAATAGTGTTCGTAGGGTTTTTCTCTGAGTACATTTCTGTTTTCTACGTTGTTTTTTTATTTATGGGTCTCTATTAGATATCATACATGCAGAAAATGTGAGGGAATCGTCTACATACTTTCTACCTCCATTAATTTTCCCTGATAGTATGTTTACTTAAAAAAAAAATCAAGTCTAAATTATTATACATAAACTCCTTGTGTTGTGTTTGGCCTTATGTATGAACAAAACTTTTCCCATTGTATATTTATGTTTTGCTTTCTGTTCCAGAGGCCCACTAATGAGTGAGGTATTTAATTTAATTCAGACAGCTGACAAGTACTGTTTTTTTGGCTGGCGGAAGTAGGCAGAGACCGTCAACTTGCTCCGTGTCATTCAAATTGCAGCTTGCTCTTGGTCCATTCTAACGGTTTGCCCGTTGAATCCTTTCCTGTCACTTGAGGGGCTAGGAGCTCTCTGTACACCTGGGACCCTCGTCACCTCTCGGTGGTCTACATGTGTGACCCAAATCCTGGGCTTCTAGTGGATTAGTGAGCATTGGCTCTAGAGAGCTCTTAGGAGGGCTTGAGACTATTCATTGTCACTGTTTAGAGGACATAGCACCAGTAGGTTGGTTATTCTAAAGCTTTTCCCATGGTATCATTGAAATCACTGTTAAAATTACATGATCACTTACAAGCTGTGTAAGGTGTCTGTAATCAGATGGCATGTGCTATTTGACCCACTATACCAATGTGCTCCCTAAATTGGTCATAAATAGATGGTATTATTATATATGTAAGAGGGATAGGGAGTCCTGGAAGTTACACAGATGACTTAGCACTCGGGGGGATTTGGATTTGAGTTCCAGCTCTGCCACCTACTGGCTGTGTGACCTTGGCCAAGTGTGCTGGCTCCTCTGCGAATCATTCCCTAACTTTTGAAGGAGGGTGATGTGACTGCCTGCCCCGTGGTGTTCTCGTGAGAATTAAGCAAGACCATGTAAGTAAAGTATTTAGTAAAATCTCTGGCTCATGGGGAATGGCTGAGAAATATTAAGGTAGTTGTTCTTCTCTGCCCCCTCCTCTTCCTCTTCCTACTTCCCCCTCTTCCTTTTGTTCCATCATCACCATCATCGCCACCACCATCACCATCACCACCATCATCACCATCACCACCACCATCACCATCACCATCATCACCACCATCACCATATGTGTATGTGATAAGTTCATTCTCCAAGCCAAGTTACTGTTGTTAGTGCTGCAGTTGTGTTTGGTGTAGGGTAGACTGGCTTTTCTGTGCCCGACCCGCTCACCTGCCTCCCTGAGGTCAGCGTCTCCTGTACACAGAGATTAGAGATGGAGTGGTTTATAAACCCTAGGAAAAGGGTAGTGTGGTGTAGTCAGAACTGTGCCCCATGGTCTTCTGAACATAATCCTTTCTCACGGAACCTCAGTGGATTGATTACAATTTTTTCCTATTTTGTAAGTAAAGAAATTTTAAAGCTTTCAAGTGAGTTTGAGAAGTTTTAACATTTTAAATTCTTGGCAGAAAGTGTTTTATGTAACATACAAACTTAATATGTGCCGAAAATGAAAGGTACAATATTTATTCATATTAAATAATTTAAAGATGTCCTGAACTAAGTCTCAGAGAGTCAGACAGGATATGACTTGACTTCTTCTAGAGCCCTATTGGATTATTTAATCTTCTACCAGTATAAAGAGTATTTTTTAGGTACCTTTATAATAAAATCTATGTATCTTATCTGGATTGAATTATCCAGGTAAACCTAATACTGATGTGATGCTGAAATTGACATCTTCTAAGAATTTTTTAGTGTATGAGAAAAAAACCCTCTTAAAAATGAGGGTAAAATTTTGATCACCTTTCTTTACCCTGTCTCAGTTCTGCAGCATTGTCAGTAACACAAGTTCATTGCAGACGTTCAGTACCTCAAGGTTCAGAAACACCTTTTTAGGCCACTGCCTTTTTCTTTGAGTCGTATGCCAACTCCCATCAGGCTGTGGAACTGAAGACTCTTCTAACCCAATGTAGCCGGGTATCTGAGCACGCACAGTAATTCCCTCGTTTCTCTCTGGTTGGAAAATGCAGACTTTCCAAGATGCCTAATTTGTGCTTCTATATATACTAACTTTGTATTTCTAACGTGTGGGCAGGCTTCCTGTAAGACCGGAAAAAGTAAAATCATTTTCTCCCCCCTCAGAAGGACATCTGTAAAACTTTTATTGCACAAGACTTTATTATACTTGGGTATGCAATGTTGCATTTTCACAAATTACACTTAGGCAGGATTCAAAGTATTTTAAGTTTTGTGGGTTGGTTTGACTTAAAAAAAAGAAAAGAAAAAAGAAAACCCATGGATAGTGGGCACTTCAAACATTTGCAACATATGTTTGGAATAAAATCCTCGTGGGGGCCTTGGGGGTTGTTCCCTCCTGAAGGGTGTTGTGGATGGGCTGTATATCAAGGCCGGGAAGCAGACATTGGGCTGCACGGCTCAGACTCTGCCGTGTGGTGCTGACAGGCTCACTGCTGCGGGATCACTAGCACCTGATAATTGGGGAGAGCCTAGGAGGGGCTGGATTTGAGGGACCTGACCTGCTTGTACCGGCGTCAGGATAAGGACCCCCATCTCCTGCTCAAAGATTTCTCAGCAGCTTTATTCTGCTCCTGTTCCATCTGTAGCCAGATATTTTCAAACCACCATCCCTCTTTGCTCTCACGGACTGCAGTACATTTATTGTTTTATAAACTTGCAAGGCAGATGACATAATAGTTAAAGCATTCCTGCACCCTGGGTGACACTTAACTTTTATTCTCTCCCCTGTTACAGAAAACATGTGTTTTATTGTCTTCTGTCTTAGTCTTACTGTGAAGAGTCCAGTTTTCTAACTGTCCCTGAAAGGGTCTTTGTGGGGAATTTTCTTGGATTCACTAGTCATGTCCTATGGGTCCCCTGCTGGTTTTCTTTAAGGGGGAAAAAGGATACTCCGCTTTTCTAAAATTTCAGGTCTCTTTTTCAGTTTTATAGTTGTGTGAAGAGTGTTTTCCCTCTGCCCCCAGCTGCTCCCAAGTAGGAATTCCTCTTGGAAAATATGATTCATTCTTCCATGCAAACTCTGTGATTGAACACACACCATCAGTATTCTTCCTTATGCTTCCAAGCTCAGATGACAGAACTATCTGTTGCTAATTAGCAAAACCTGAGGAATTAGCTTAAAGAAAAGAAACTGAATTTTTAATCGCTTGCATTTATTTTCTGTGGAAAGCTGGTACACTGAGCCCACTTGCGTCCTTGTGTGCTTAAAAAAAAATGCATGTAAGATTTTTTTTCTACCTGTCTTTATATTGGGTGATTTTATATTCTGCTTAGAAATACATCTTCTGAGTAGCAGAGGAGATGCGTGTTTTACATATTTAATAGGTACACCTGCTCACATTTCCCTTACTATTGGAGTGTGATCTGGAAGTTGAGAGACAGAAATGCCTATAAGGCACAGTGAACAGTTTGGTGTTGACCAGACTGCGAAGGCAGTGACAGCTCCCTGAGCACACAGCTCCATTCCCATGCAGGCTGTCTGCCTCTTGGAGAACACCTGAGTCCATCAGGACTGCTTTGGTTTTGCTCCTTTTTTAACTTGAACATTAGACTGTTTAAC